TGTGGTAATTGATGGAACGAAAATTGAAATCTTTCAACAAACTGATACAGCACTGAAGGAAGTCATTCATCGATGCCAGAGATTTTGGAATACAACTATCTGGCCAACTGATTAGAAGAGATCCATATTTGTGCTCACTTTCAAGAGAGCTGACCCAAGGGAATGCGAAAATCATTGGACAACATCATTAATATCGCATGCAAGTAACATTTTGCAAAAGGTAATTAAAAAATGGCTAAAATAGTACATTGACAGTGAACTACCAGAGGTTCAACCCGGATTCAAATTGGGAAATGGAACAAAGGATATCACTGCTGACCTCAGATGGATCTTGGTTGAAAGCAGAGAATACAAGATAGATGTTTCCTGTGCTTTACTGAATATCTTAAGGCTTTTGATTCTGTGCAGTATGACAAGCTAAGGACAACATTGTGGAACATGACTAGTCTGTAAAACATAATATACACAAACCAAGAGGCAGCCATTCAAACATAACAAGGGGACACTCAATGGTTCAAAATCAGGAAGGGTGTGCACCAGGGTTGTAGTCTTTCACCATATTTATTTAACCTGTATACTAAGCAAATAATCTGAGAATCTGGATTATATGAAGAAGAATGTGACATCAGGGTTGGAGACTCATTAACAACCTGTGATATGCAGATGATACAACCTTGAAAGCAAAGAGTACTTAAAATACTTACTGATGATGATCAAAGACCATACCCTTCAATATGGATTGCACCTCAACGTAAAGAAATCAAAAATCCTCACAACTGGACCATTACATAACATTAAGATAAATGGAGAAAACATTGATATTGTCAAATGCTTCATTTTCCTTGGGTCAGTCAACACGCATGAAAGCAGCAGTCAAGAAATCAAATAACATATATTGCCTTAGCCAAATCTGCTGCATAAGACCTTTTTAAAGTGCTCAAGAGTAAAGATGTCACTTTGAGGACTAAAAAGTGCACCTGACCCAAACTACAGCATTTTCAATAGTTTCATATGCATGTGAAATTTGGACAACAAAGAAGACTGGAGAAAAATTGATGTATTTGAATTATGGTATTGGAGGAGAATATTAAAAGCACCACAGACTTCCAGAAAAATAAACAACTGTGTGGTGTTAGAAGAAGTACAGCCAGAATGCTCCTTAGAAGCCAGGATAGCCAGACTGTGTCTATCATACTTCAGACGTATTATCAGGAGGGACCAGTCCCTGGAGAAGGACATCATGCTTGGTAAAGTGGAGGGTCAGCAAAGAAAATGAAGGTCCCCAACAAGATGGATTGGTCCAGTGGTTACAGCAATGGGCTCAAGGCCAGCAGCGGCTGTGACACAGGGACAGGACCAAGCAGTGGTTCATTCTGTCATGTTCAGGGTCACTATGAGTTAGTACCAACCTGACAGTACCTACCAACAACAACAAATGAAAGAAGCCAGTCTAAAAAAAAAACTACAGCCGATATGATACCCGTTAGATGACATTCTAAAAAAGGCAAAAGTGTAGAAGACAGTAACGAGATGAGTGCTTGCCAGGGATTTAGGGGAAGGATTGAAGGGTAGGGACAGGGCATTTTCAGGGCAATGAAACTATTCCTTATGGTACTATAACACATGACATTATGCATTCATCAAAGCCCATTGGACTTTATAATAACAACAGTTAAATCTAATATAATCTATGAATTTTAGTTACTAATGTTGTTGTTAAGTGCCGTCGA